AATTCATCCGTGGTCTGGTGCGGCATTGGCTTGCCCCCATCCTCGCTTCTCGACCGGATTATGACGGATAACCTGGTCCTTCTCGGTAATTCGTACTCTGCACTAACCCATTCCGCGGCACTACACGGCGCAGACCCGATCCGTACCACAGAGGTGGGTACTCTACTTAGTAGGTCAGCAAGCGAATATATGGAACACTCGATAGTAACAGTATTTTGTCAACACCGGCCCGAATTGACTCAGCACATATCTTCCATTGTCGACTCACTTGGCCCAAGCTTCAAACGGGAATTTACTGACCACTTCTTCCCATCAATGTTTCCTGAACCACTACAGCGACTATGAGAGCCATTCCATATGTTCATACATTGTATCATACATACTTGCCATTTTTGAAATAGATAATATTATCCCTATGATCCTATATTCTAAGCCATCAGAGAGTCTCATCGAATATCCATGTCACATGGTCCTTTTATTCGTCATCCAAAGTCCAGTCCAGAAGATCCCGTCCGAACAGTCCAGTCCAGTAATAGTAGGGCAGGGCACAGAGAAGATCCTTTTCTACCAGTCCGTCCTATCAGTCCAGCCCTAATCCAATAGGACAGGGCACAGAGCAGATTCCAAACTACACGTTCAGCAATTTTCTAAAAATTGGACCACTCATGACCCTCTCTTGCTGGGGGATGAAAAATGTAAATATGCCACGGAGGAGTAGTTGGCGACTTGGCGGTGCCAATTTGGCGATATGGTCATGAACTCATGACTCAACTCATGACTCTATGTACTAGAGTCATGATGACAGATGACTCTGAGCGACCATCCAGATTCCAGAGACCAGTCATCAGAGGGTGATGTTTGGCCTCAGGACCTCACGCCCACGGCCTCACCGTCTCACGCTCGCGGTTGGTTCAGAGCCTCACAGCCTAAGGGATGAGGGCCTGAGGGCCTGAGGTCAGACTGGGATATCCTTTTATTTCCAGAAAATATTTCTAGAATTCCCTCTAGAGTAGAGTGGGGTCTCAATAGGGCCTAAAAATGGGTAAAATCCGTCTCCGGTGCGTGACGGACAAAAATTGAGCTTGCGCTATACAAATACAATACAAATATATGCACATTTGGGTAAACAAAAACACACATTCACATTCCCCCCTTTGTGAGTTCACGTCCAATATGTTTTCCGTTGTACGTTCCGCTACTTCCGCACGCGCGGGCTTGATGAGCCGAAAGGCTGTCATGTCGAGTGTCACTGCCATTCGTACCAAAGTGTCGCTTCCTGACCTGCCATATGACTACAACGCTCTTGAGCCAGGTGTGTATTGAATTTATCTGCTGCCCAGCGTGATTTGTTTCGTACTACTTGTTCACACTGCCTTGGATTAGGTGTTGACGATTAGTGAATTACTAGGTGTCTTTGGTCACAGGCTGGACTTTTTCATAATAGGGTTATCGAACCGGATGCTCAATTTCATATGTAGTCGTATATTTGCGCTAGTACGTTTTTCATTGCAGGCCGAACCTCAAAGCATACATACGTTGTCCCGTACTGTGGTGCTAGTTAGCGCCTTTTACTCAATCATATCTTAGAATCCAAATATGTATCTGCCTACGCACATAGTAATTAACACGTACTAACATGTCTTATAGTTTTCCTTCGTGTGAAGTGGTTGGATTACGTGAACGAACTAAACGCAAGGTACAAAATCTTGCTTACATGCGAGAAAAGGCAACTTTGTATGGAATTAGTGCTGTGTATGTAGGTCCAATACTACTAAAGCAGGCTCGAGCTGTTATAAAGATGGCTGATGTGTGAGCATTTGTAATGAGCTGTATCTGACGATTGAAAATAATTAGGCCAATAAAACTTATCTTCCCCACGAACCTCCCTTGCAGCAATCTGCTCCGAGATCATGACCCTGCATCACTCCAAGCACCACAACACATACGTCACCAACTACAACTTACAAGAGGAGCAGCTGGACGAGGCTATCCACAAGGGTGATACCAGCAAGATCATCGGTATGCACTTCACAAGCACATCCTGCGAAGATTGTTTTTATATTCTGTATATATAGACTTACAAGAATATACTATTCATCGCCAACTACACCACACGTATAGTCAATTTGGCCATCAGTAGCTCAAGTCAATAGTATCCTTAACTATATGACATTTTTTTTTCAGAACTTGCATATATATATATACATATGTATATATATATATATACATTCTCGCACGCAAACATACACACACACACACACACATATATATATATATAAATATATATATATATATATTTATATAGATATATATGTGTATTTGTATACGTATATTTGTATATTTATGTAGATGT